TATAAGTTTGCGTACAAATATGCCACCACCGCCAGCAACCATGCATTTAAAGGTAGGTTGTTGTCGACGAGGAAATTCAGATAAAAGTTCTTCTCCTTTCGAATGTCGGTCAAGTAGAGCAGATGGAAGCGGATCTGTCTGCTTCCAAAATCTTGCCAAAACAATTGTGTGAACCTCAAGGGAATTGCAAGGAAAGTACTGCGTAATTCACCTGTATTCTATCATTTTATTGTAATTCTACAAATTCAAAATTCTTATGGCTGGTTTTCTTCAATTCGGAATGCCTTTTCATCTGCAAGTTGAACCTTTTCTATTAAAAAAAATAAATCAAAACCGACTTCCGTGTTTAGAATTCACTTCCGTGACGCTCCAACCATCATCATCTCTACGATCAAGATGATAATGGTAATAATGATAACAATGATGATGATAATGATAATACTAATGAGAATACAGTTATGGCAATAATATTGATTGTAGCAGTATTATTTCTAATATCATCATCACCACCAGCAGCTGCTGCATTGCTAATTTATTTATTATCATAATATTTCAATAGATTCCGCTGTGAGAGTACCAGCACGATGGCAATTACTGTTATAGTTATTATCATTATCATAATCCTTATAATTGTTATTAGTTAACTGCTACTAACATCTTTATCTGCATTGCAGTTTTCCATTTTCGCTATAATCATCATTAGCACTCACATTATTTCCATAATCAATTATATTATAATAAGTATCATCGTTATTACTATTAATGTTATTGTCCTTATTAATATTATCATTTTTGTTATCAACATCATTGGTAATATAATGATAATGATAATAACAAACATTATTATAATTATCAATAGTAGTGTTGGTAGTATTAATGTCATAATTTTATCATCGTCACTACTGCCATTATTATTATCATTTTTTGAATCATTACGATCATTATCATTATGATCATTATTTATATTATGACTATCTTCATCATTATCATTTATTGTTATTATCATCACCATAGGTATCATCACTCTTATGACGAGTATGAGTTTAACAATCATTGCTATCATCATTTTCGTAAACATTTCCTTTATCTTCCTCCTCGTGACTATCTTCCCCCACTGACAAGACAGTTCTTTGGATAAAAAAGCCTTTCTTTTAGGGCACATAACGCTTACAGTGAATAACGGATGAAATCGTCATTGTGAACTATATCTTCATTTTGTTTGGTTTAAGGTTCAATTTGATGAAACGTAACAATGAACAAGAACACTGAAACGTCTTGCGTGCTTTGTGCTGGGTGACGTCGCTGCCTCGGCCGGGTATATAAAGGAGGGTTTAACCGCCTGTGGGCATTGCCAACTGTTTCCCTGTGCTAGAACATTAGAGCTGGAAACCGTGCTTTCGTGCTTGTTAAACTTGAAGAGCTTCTCATCTCTACTTCGAAGCCTTCGCAGCGACTTTCTCCTTTTCTGAGCTTCCAAGCAGCTGTTTAGATCAGGTAAGTTACATCACTACTTATCAAATTTGATATCTACGTTTTCCACTTTGTTTCTCAAACACGCATCTACAGCCACACCATAGTCAAGCTGATGCAATTCATTTGGGATGAACACACATTGCAATATAAGGAATATGGAATAATGATGAAACTCTTTCAACACAGCACTTGAGCGAGACTCAACCGAGTGCGACGAGATGCAGCAATCCGGCAAGAGCGAGCCCGTCCCGTGCTGACTCGCGTCCGCAGCAAGACGTTCATCGTCACCGGCGAGGCGCCCGAGGGCGTCCGAGCATGGGCGGCCCGTCAAGGGACTCCTGAAGGACTGGCTCAAATCTGGGAGCGTCTTCGCCGCGCACCAGAAGGGCTTCATCCTCCCCGGAACGTGGACTCAGAGCCTCGCGATGGCCCAGTGAGAGCGGGCTGGTGCGAGATGCGACGGCGTCACAGCTCAAGCTAAGACTGCATCGCTGTACAAGAGATGCAGTTTGAACCGGCCAAAGATGGCTTTCTGAATGTGTAGAATGGAATTCTATCAATATTTTGGAAGTTCATCGACTAGGGCTGCGTGATTAAGAAACATTTGATCTCATTCCCCGTCTCAGTCGAAGTTACCAGAGAAATGGCGGATCAAACAGTGCCGTCAGAAAACAGCGATGGAAGGCTAGGAATCACCTGCATGTGCTTCTTAACACGCCTGAAGCGGTGAAGGTTAAGGAGGCAGAGGATACTCGTCGGAGAAACCCAGGCTTTGGAAAGCTTGTCTTATTGATATATTCTGTTAATAGATTTAAGATAAGTAAATATGACTAACATAAGGCTGTTGCTGAAGACGCCAAGTGTGATGGCACACAGTGTTATGTAGCACACGTGATATAGATGTTTAGGTTTAGCATGAAATGTAAACGTCCATATTATATTTTATGACACTTTTTATACTGCATAAATGATATGCAATAAATGCAATAATTTACTAATATCAGTCATTTTCCTTATACTACAAAATCGGTGACACCGATTAGTGTACAGTTTTCAAAAGCATAAAAAAAATACATTTTGAAATATTTGGACCAGCAATTGATGTAATAACAACAGCAAAGACCGTAAAAATAACGAAATTAAAAGCTGACAATACTTATGATAATAATAGCTTTATATCTATAAAGGGCAAACTAGTCAAATGTATTACAAATAGCACGCATAACCATTGATAATATCATAATTAATCGTATACTACTGGAGGTTGATAGTATCATCAAGTACAATGCCTTACGTAAGCCTGTGGACGGATGCTCGGCAAGTGGGAAAAGTATTGTGAGATACAAAGAAAAATAATAAAAGAAGAAAAAAAATGGCGATGTATGTTACCTGCGACTATATTAACTATATGCGTACACTAAACACACTCGCAAACATATATATATTATATATATATATTATATATATATATATATATATATTATATATATATATATATATATATATATTATATATGTACATTATATATATACATATATATATATATATATATATATATATATATATATATATATATATTATATATATATATAAAGATACACATATGCGCCCATATATATTTTTTATTATTATGATTATTATTTGCATTATAACTATCTTCATTTTATTGACGAGCATGATTTTACCAATGATAATAACAATAAAATGATAATGATGAAGATAATCAAAATACAAATAATAATGATAATGATGATCATAATGATGAAAAATGATAACAATAATGGCAATAGTGACAATGATAAAATTATGATATTATTACTACCAACACTACTATTGATTATTATAACAGTCATTATTATTATATTACCAATGATATTGATAACAAAAATGATAATATTAATTAGGACAATAACATTAATAGTAATAACATCGATGATTCCTATTATGATATTATTGATGATTAAATAATGTGATGGTTAATGATGCTTATAGCGATAATGGAAAGCTGCAATGCAGATGACAATGATGTTAGTAGCAGTAATACTAATAACAATTTTAAGAATAATGATAATAATGATAATAACTATGACAGTAATTGCCATCGTGCTGTTACTCTCACAGCTGAATCGACTGAAATATTATGATAATAAATAAATCAGCAATGCAGCTGCTGCTACTGGTGATGATGATATAAAAAAAATACTACTGCTATAATTAATATTATTGTAATAACTGTATTCTTATTCCTGTTATCATTATCATCATTATTATTTGTTACCATTATCATTTTGATCGTAGCGATGATGATGGTCACGGAAGTGAATTCTAAACACGGAAGTCGGATTTGATTTATTGTTTTAAAATAGAAAAGGTTCGACTTGCAGATGAAAAGGCATTCCAATTGAAGAAAACCAGCCATAAGAATGTGTAGAATTACAATAAAATAGAACACATGTGAATTACGCAGTTCTTTCCTCGAAATTCGCTTGAGGTTCACACAATTGATTTGGCAAGATTTTAGGAGCAGACAGATCCGCTTCCATCTGCTCTACGTGACCGACATTAGAAGGGAAGAGGAACTGTTATCTGAATTTCCTCGTATATATGTATATATGTATATATATATATATATATATATATATATATATATATATATATATATATATATATATATATTATCTATATGTAGTATATACGTGTGTATATATTTTATAAATAAAAAGAGATATATGTATATAAACATACATATGTATATATATATATATATATTTTATATATATATATATATATATATATATATATATATATATATATATATGTGTTGTGTGTGTGTGTGTGTGTGTGTTGTGTGTGTACATATATGTGTGTGTGAATGTGTGTTTGTGGGTGAGTCTGGGTGTGTGCGAGTGTGTTTTAGTGTACGTATATGGTTAATATACTCGCAGCTAACATATATCGACATTTTTTTCTTATTTTTCTTATTTTTCTTCTATTCTTTTTCTTTTTGTATCTCGCAAGTCTCTTTTCCCACTTGCCGAGCGTCCGTCCACAGGGCCTTCTTCCGCGTCCCTTGTGGCCCATGACGCGAATCGAGTGGGAATCCGACTGTCCAGGCGCGGCATTTGGACGCACATGACCCACACTCTTACGAAATGACGACAAGCAACTCTTGGGCAGTTCACAGGACTGTTTCCGGAGAGAGTATTCCCATTATCTAATGTTCACGTACGTAAGGCGTTGTACTTGATAATACTATCAACCTCCAGGAGTATACGATTTATTATGGTATCATCAATAATATTACGTGGTATTTGTAATACAGTTAACTAGTTTGTCCTTTATAGATATAAAGTTATTATTATCATAAGTATTGTCAGCTTTTAATTTTGTTATTTTTACGGTCTTTGCTGTTCTTATTACATCTGTTGATGGTACAAACATTTTAAAATGTTTTTTTATGCTGTTGAAAACTGTGTACACTAATCGGTGTCACCGATTTTGTAGTATAAGGAAAATGACTGATATTAGTAAATTATTGCATTTATTGCATATCATTTATGCAGTATAAAAAGTGTCATAAAATATAATATGGACGTTTACATTTCATACTAAACCTAAACATCTATATCACGTGTGCTACATAACACTGTGTGCCATCACACTTTGCGTCTTCAGCAACAGCCTTATGTTAGTCATATTTACTTATCTTAAATCTATTAACATAATATATATAAAAGACAAGCTTTCCAAAGCTTGGGTTTCTCCGACGAGTATCCTCTGCCTCCTTAACCTTCACCGCTTCAGGCGTGTTAAGAAGCACATGCAGGTGATTCCTGGCCTTTCATCGCTGTTTTCTGACGGCACTGTTTTATCCGCCATTTCTCTGGCAACTTCGACTGAGACGGGGAATGAGATCAAATGTTTCTTAATCACGGAACCCTAGTCGATGAACTTCCAAAATATTGATAGAATTCCATTCTACACATTCAGAAAGCCATCTTTGGCCGGTTCAAACTGCATCTCTTGTATAGCGATGCAGTCTTGGCTTGAGCTGTGAACGCCGTCGCATCTCGCACCAGCCCGCTCTACTGGGCCATCGCGAGGCTCTGAGTCCACGTTCCGGGGAGGATGAAGCCCTTCTGGTGCGCGGCGAAGACGCTCCCAGATTTGAGCCAGTCCTTCAGGAGTCCCTTGACGGCGGCGCCCATGCTCGGGACGCCCTCGGGCGCCTCGCCGGTGACGATGAACGTCTTGCTGCGGACGCGAGTCAGCACGGGGACGGGCTCGCTCTTGCCGGTTGCTGCATCTCGTCGCACTCGGGTTGAGTCTCACTCAAGTGCTGTGTTGAAAGAGTTTCATCATTATTCCATATTCCTTATATTGCAATGTGTTTATCCCAAATGAATTGCATCAGCTTGACTATGGTGTGGCTGTAGATGTGTGTTTAAGAAACAAAGTGGAAAACGTAGATATCAAATTTGATAAGTAGTGATGTAACTTACCTGATCTAAACAGCTGCTTGGAAGCTCAGAAAAGGAGAAAGTCGCTGCGAAGGCTTCGAAGTAGAGATGAGAAGCTCTTCAAGTTTAACAAGCACGAAAGCACGGTTTCCAGCTCTTACGTTCTAGCACAGGGAAACAGTTGGCAATGCCCACAGGCGGTTAAACCCTCCTTTATATACCCGGCCGAGGCGGCGACGTCACCCAGCACAAAACACGCAAGACGTTTCAGTGTTCTTGTTCATTTGTTACGTTTCATCAAATTGAACCTTAAACCAAACAAAATGAAGATATAATTCACAATGACGATTTCATCCGTTATTCACCGTAAGTAAGCGTTATGTGCCCTAAAAGAATGGCTTTTTTATCCAAAGAACTGTCTTGTCAGTGGGGGAAGATAGTCACGAGGAGGAAGATAAAGGAAATGTTTACGAAAATGATGATAGCAATCACTGTTAAACTCATACTCGTCATAAGAGTGATGATACCTATGGTGATGATAATAACAATAAATGATAATGATGAAGATAGTCATAATATAAATAATAATCATAATGATAATGATCGTAATGGTGAAAAACATGATAATAATGGCAATAGTGACGATGATAAAATTATGACATTAATACTACCAACACTACTATTGATAATTATAATAATGATTGTTATTATCATTATATTACCAATGATGTTGATAACAAAAATGATAATATTGATAAGGACAATAGCATTAATAGTAATAACAACGATGATGCCTATCATAATATAATTGATTATGGAAATAATGTGGATGCTAATGATGATTATAGCGAAAATGGAAAACTGCAATGCAGATAATAATGATGTTAGTAGCAGTTAACTAATAACAATTATAAGGATTATGATAATGATAATAACTATAACAGTAATTGCCATCGTGCTGGTACTCTCACAGCGGAATCTATTGAAATATTATGATAATAAATAGATTAGCAATGCAGCTGCTGCTGCTGGTGATGATATTAGAAATACTACTGCTATAATTAATATTATTGTAATAACTGTATTCTCATTCCTGTTATCATTATCATCATTATTATTTGTTACCATTATCATTTTGATCGTAGCGATGATGATGGTCACGGAAGGAATTCTAAACACGGAAGTCGGATTTGATTTATTGTTTTAGAATAGAAAAGGTTCGACTTGCAGATGAAAAGGCATTCCAAATTGAAAAAAACAGCCATAAGAATTTGTAGAATTACAATAAAATGATAGAATACACGTGAATTACGCAGTACTTTCCTCGAAATTCGCTTGAGGTTCACACAGTTGTTTTGGCGAGATTTTGGAAGCAGACAGATCCGCTTCCATCTGCTCTACTTGACCGACATTCGAAAGGAAGAGGAACTGTTATCTGAATTTCCTCGTATATGTATATGTATATATAATATATATAATATATATATATATATATATATATATATATATACATATATATAATGTATATAATATTATATATATATATATATATATATATAATATATATATATATTATATAATATATATAATTATATATATATATATATATATATATGTATATATATGTAAATATATTATATATATATATAAATACATATATATATATAATATATATATATAATAATATATAAATATATATATATATTGTTATAATATATATATATATATATATATATATATATATATTATCTATATGTATGTATAACGTGTATATATACATTTATAAAAAAAAAAGAAAATATATGTATAACATACATATGTGTATATATTATATAATAAATATATATATATATATATATATGATATATATATATATATATATATATATATATATGTATATATATATGTACATATATGTGTGTGTGAATGCGTGTGTGTGTGTTTGTGGGTGTGTCTGGGTGTGTGCGAGTGTGTTTTAGCGTACGTATATGGTTAACATACTCGCAGCTAACATATATCGACATTTTTTTCTTCTCTTTCTCTTTTTCTCCTATTCTTTTTCCTTTTGTATCTCGCAAGTCTTTTCCCACTTGCCGAGCGTCCGTCCACAGGGCCTTCTTCCGCGTCCCTTGTGGCCCATGACGCGAATCGAGTGGGAATCCGACTGTCCAGGCGCGGCATTTGGACGCACATGACCCACTCTGTTACGAAATGACGACAAGCAACTCTTTGGCAGTTCATAGGACTGTTTCCGGGTAGAGTATTTCCATTATCTAATGTTCACGTACGTAAGGTGTTGTACTTGATAATACTATCAACCTCCAGGAGTATATGATTTATTATGGTATCATCAATAGTATTACGTGGTATTTGTAATACAGTTAACTAGTTTGTCCTTTATAGATATATTGTTATTATTATCATAAGTATTGTCAGCTTTTAATTTCGTTATTTTTTCGGTCTTTGCTGTTCTTATTACATCTGTTGATGGTCCAAACATTTTAAAATGTTTTTTATGCTGTTGAAAACTGTATACACTAATCGGTGTCACCGATTTTGTAGTATAAGGAAAATGACTGATATTAGTAAATTATTGCATTTATTGCATATCATTTATGCAGTATAAAAAGTATCATAAAATATAATATGGACGTTTACATTTCATGCTAAACCTAAACATCTATATCACGTGTGCTACATAACACTGTGTGCCATCACACTTGGCGTCTTCAGCAACAGCCTTATGTTAGTCATATTTACTTATCTTAAATCTATTAACAGAAAATATCAAAAGACATTCTTTCCAAAGCCTGGGTTTCTCCGACGAGTATCCCCTTCCTCCTTAACCTTCACCGCTTCAGGCGTGTTAAGAAGCACATGCAGTGATTCCTGGCCTTTCATCGCTGTTTTCTGACGGCACTGTTTTATCCGCCATTTCTCTGGCAACTTCGACTGAGACGGGGAATGAGATCAAATGTTTCTTAATCACGGAACCCTAGTCGATGAACTTCCAAAATATTGATAGAATTCCATTCTACACATTCAGAAAGCCATCTTTGGCCGGTTCAAACTGCATCTCTTGTACAGCGATGCAGTCTTGGCTTGAGCTGTGGACGCCGTCGCATCTCGCACCAGCCCGCTCTCACTGGGCCATCGCGAGGCTCTGAGTCCACGTTCCGGGGAGGATGAAGCCCTTCTGGTGCGCGGCGAAGACGCTCCCAGATTTGAGCCAGTCCTTCAGGAGTCCCTTGACGGCGGCGCCCATGCTCGGGACGCCCTCGGGCGCTCGCCGGTGACGATGAACGTCTTGCTGCGGACGCGAGTCAGCACGGGGACGGGCTCGCTCTTGCCGGATTGCTGCATCTCGTCGCACTCGGGGTTGAGTCTCACTCACGTGCTGTGTTGAAAGAGTTTCATCATTATTCCATATTCCTTATATTGCAATGTGTGTTTATCCCAAATGAATTGCATCAGCTTGACTATGGTGTGGCTGTAGATGTGTGTTTAAGAAACAAAGTGGAAAACGTAGATATCAAATTTGATAAGTATTGATGTAACTTACCTGATCTAAACAGCTGCTTGGAAGCTCAGGAAAGGAGAAAGTCGCTGCGAAGGCTTCGAAGTAGAGATGAGAAGCTCTTCAAGTTCAACAGCACGAAAGCACGGTTTCCAGCTCTTATGTTCTAGCACAGGGAACAGTTGGCAATGCCCACAGGCGGTTAAACCCTCCTTTATATACCCGGCCGAGGCAGCGACGTCACCCAGCACAAAACACGCAAGACGTTTCAGTGTTCTTGTTCATTTGTTTCGCTTCATCAAACCGAACCTTAACCCAAACAAAATGAAGATATAGTTCACAATGACGATTTCATCCGTTATTCACCGTAAGTAAGCGTTATGTGCCCTAAAAGAATGTATTTTTTCCAAAGAACTTTCTTGGCAAAACCTGTCCGCCTTGAACCACTATATTTGCCTACCTCTTAAGACCACGTGACGGTGACTGCTTGAGCGCGAGGAGGAAGGAGGAAGATAAAGGAAATGTTTACGGAAATGATGATAGCAGTCAC